ATAAGTTATACATCATGATCATGTACGTTAACCCTGGCTTGCGGTGTAGAAAATTTTTTCACTCGCGATCCTTTCCCCGCATGGTGGGAAGCCAGGGCCAAAAACAACACAAATTCCCTTTATTCAATGTCATTCATACTGTCTAATTATTGCCACAGATATGTTCTGCAATGGTGTTCCTCTTTCATAACAAGTTCACAAATTTTTGTCAAGCCCTATTCTTTAGATTTTATTAACAATACCTGTACATGTAGTCGTGAACAGTACATAGTACAGGTCTATAGACCTTGATACAGTACACAATTTACGCATAAGGTGCTTTGGTTAGTTAAGAAACAAACCTAAAAGAACACTATTTTTTTTTTGCCGTTTGCGCATTGATTGGGGATCCCTCAAGCAAGGGGTCTGAAGCTTCAGCCTCAATTGCCTCAATGATAATCCGTCACTACCTCAGCAGCATGTCCTTCATAGGTCTCGGTCATGCACATACTACATTAATGCTTCCTCAATGTCTCTCTGTTCTATCCAGAAAGTTAACTTTTTTGTCACTTCATACAAACCTGGTGACACTCTGAGGACAAACATTATAGTATCTCCATAATGCACTTCTATGCAACTTTGCTCCTGGGGAAGTTAATCTAGCGTTGTATGAACTTTATTTACGAGATAAACTTGAGGGAGACCGATTATATTTTTTCGCATATTTTGTACCTTTAAATCCATTTGTGTTCACATACAGACCAAGGCACAACCCTTGTGTTTGTATCTAAATAAGTATGAAATCACAAGTGCTGTTATTTCAAAATTGATTCTTCGAATTTGAAAGAAATTTGACAATACCAACTATTCCTGGGAAGGCTACTGGCTACATGTATACTGCCTACTACCACCGGAATAGCTCCTACTTTTCAACATTAAAAATATTGACCCTATGATTTGCATTACACCCATAATTATATATATATATATATATATATATATATATATATATATATATAGGATATATTTTTCATCTTAGATATGTATGGGTTCTGTTTACTACAGTAAGTATAAATACGAGTCATAAAGTACTACATGCTGTATATGTATGGGTCATCTTCTAATCCCGAGATATTGGAAGCTCAGAGGCACCGTCCTAACCTTTTAAGGTCATATAATACACTACCTTTGGGTTAGTTTCAGCCACCAGGAATGCCTGGGTTTGCGTGATAAACAGCAATTTGGAAGGGGGGGCGCTACAACAAAAATAAGAATCGGACACCATTTTACACTGTTCTCTATTTGGACCAGTCGATGAAATGACTGGAATGACTGCGCACACACAGTTAGAATATAAATTTCGTGGAGTGATAACATGGATTTAGGGATGGTGTTATTTTAATTCGTGTAATTCTACCAAACATCGTAGGTTTTCTCTGGGTACTCCTTGTTTCTCTTGTACTATAACTGGCCAACGAAGGGCAAATTGATAAAACATAATAAATGAAATTATACTTTGCCCGTGTAGTTTCCCAGGCCTATGGTACTGTGCATTTACAATATTTGCATTTATTCTCGAGAAAACCAAATACATTTGTGCATCATTCTTTTTCAGAGGGACTGTTTGAACTTTAAAATGTAGAAGATGGTTCATAACCCAAAGAGAAAGAACAATTTCCCTGATGAAGTTTTGCAGACGAAAAACCAGAATGCAGAAAAGTCTTTTTCTTTTTAACTTTGATGGACCAATGGTCGAGATGTACCAGGTCTCGCATCCGGTGTCTGGCGTTTAACAAGGAGCATATGGTATGTAACAAGTCTGTCAGAGAGCAAGACCTATCAAGTCGACCCATTTAGTATGTCTTAGCCGCTGAAGCCCGTGCTAACACGATGTTCAAATAATCATAAATATTAACTAAGATCATATGATTATACAGGATTCACTATCAGCTTTATCGAAAAAAAATATCTTTTGGCATATATTACAATCCTCTAACGCTTTCTTTTCTCCCGGCGGATGTTTTTAATGAGGCTCTAGGCATGCGCTTTGAGATGGCGCTTGATGTGTGTCAGGGATACTGTATGTAGTAACTCTGGCAGTCGTGTCTCATATGGTCAGTTTTTCGCCGTATTTTACCCCACAAATTCCCCCATCCTTCATACCCTACCCACTACAGGTGATTTGTGATCGTAGATAGTAAAAAACTAAAACAAATATTTATAATTAGAATAACGTTATAGCATCGTTTATATAACTATCATCCAAAGAACATATGTGGAAGAGATAATGTAATCGAACAACTTCTAGTGTTAGCCACCTACTCCACTATTACCGAAATAACTTATGGAATTACACCAAATTTCTAGATACAATTTGCATGATACTGAAAATGGAAACGATAATGAACAGAACCCAAAAGAAGGTTACCTGATATAACTAACCTAACCAACCAGAAAGAACTCATGAACATACAAGTTCACTTAGAATCCAATGCTACTCGAAAGAAATTGGAAATGTATCAAAACCCATAAATGGGATACGAATCTAACTATATGAATCTAATACAATACAACATAGTGAATGCTTATCTTCAGTCTAGTGGTCCGCATCACTATCATGATGTATGTATTTGCAATATTGCCCCCTTTATTTATATTTTTATTTCTAGTGCATTTGGTTTTCTAACTCCATTTTCGTATTATGTACTGTAGGGACAATGATGCGATGACACTCACTGGGTTAGGCCCGTTTTATGTTGTGCGTGATCTCTCAGGTGCATCCGACACTGATTATCATCAAAAGTTGTTTGGTGATCTTTCAGCTGTCACTATGCCGATTCCATGTAAATCCACTCTTGTCTTTTAAAACCATAATGGATTGGCATTTTCCTGGAAGTGCTCCCTATCATAATTTATTGAAACTTGACAAAAAACTTTAAATTTGGAATTGTATTCTGCGTGATTTGTTATCAAGTGTGGCCACTTGATTTTTACTACCTTACCCAATATGGTGTAACTGTAAGACCTCCGTTACCAAGGAGATTTATTATAGTTCCTTGTCTGTTACTATGGAATGTACGACGCAGTTGTAACTCAATTCTTCCTGGTTACATAAAATACCCTTTACAGTACCTTGCTCACTGTCGGCTTCATAGGTATTATATAGTACGTTTTGTGATATCTATAAATAAGTAATGATTAATTTTTCAAACTGAAAAATAACAACTATACAGAGACATTTAAAGCGGTTCATTGAGTTCGCAAGGAGGTTAAATGTGTGCATTGCCCCAACCCTCCATTAGAAAGATGCCAGTGTGGTGAGAGAAACAGCTAATAATGAAGCGAATGTAAAGCGGAAGTTTATGTAAACACAAGGTGCTGACTTGAACATACGTTGGCGAGTATACTGTAGACACAAGCGTCTACCGTGGCTCCAACTGTCACGCACATGCTAATTTGTACAGTTCCGCATACCAATACACCTCGTGACTATTAAATTTAAGATGTTATTGACAACTATTTTATTATTATAAGTGGATATCTTTATAAATGGACGTGTCTAACTTTTCTTTTACAATTCTTACAATAATACTGTGTTTAGACAATCCCACATTTATGTATTTACAGTATTTGTATATACAGTATATCTGTTGTTATGGGTCCGTGTCCACATTTAATCTCAGTCTTTTTTTACGGGGAATAACCCACCCGGGCACAGGTCATCGACCCACAACGGGGCCTAGGGGGCGAAAAAATAGAGTAAAAAGAAATTAAAAATAGATAAGAAAAAGATTATATTAATCCATCTCAGTCTATATTCAGTATATCTGTCCATCTGTCTATTTTTCTCCCGCAAATCATTTAACCCACATCCGTTATCTCCGTGGCTACTATAACTTGGTACCGGCCAATCAAAGGTAAAAGTTTCACCTTCCTCTGCGCGGCGCCTTTGGCTACACTTACTCTATCGTCTGAGTATATATTAATGAGCATCTGTTCCACGCTGCCGTACTGGAGAAGGTAAACAATCACTTCGTAAAGCATCATGGCGATGGTGTGTTTACAAACGTTGAAACGTAAACATGGGTAACCTGCCTACTCCAACACACTCACAATACCAACACCCACATAAATGGCTGCAAGGAAAAAAATATTCTCGTACCCTTTACGCTTCTTTTTCCAGTATTAAAAATAACTTTCGTTTCTTATATGAATGTTAATTCCGTTTATCCATAGTAAATATAATTATAGGATGACCTGAAGTAGAAATATACTGTATACAATAAGTATCCAGGGGAAGACAGGAATCAGCAGAATAAAATCCTGAAAGTACGAAGGTATGGTTAGCTGCCTATAGGTTAAGATTTGATTTGATTTGATTTCCTTGTTTTGTTGGCCGTAAACCCCTGGGTCATTACGACAGTAGCATTGTTTTTGGGGAGCTTGTTGAGGTGACCCATAGCAGCCCTCTTGGTGTTTTGCTAAGTCACCCCTCTTCTTGTTTCTGTCTATGGTATTGAACATTAGTAAGTTAAATGAAAATTATGGGAAAGAGCTAGTAATATCTGCAGCAACTCCAACACGGGACGTTGTATGTGGAAAAATAAACATTGATATAAACGATATATGAACAAAAGAATATCAAGACTGAATCTGTGAATAGAAAAAATAGATTTTACGTAACCAACAAACAGGTATTTAGGGCAGAGTCTGTAAAATTCCCAAGGATACACTAAAACATTGGCTGGATTTAGGGGGAGGGTAAATGCACATTAAAAAAAAAGGATATAGGGTTATACCAATAAAGAATATAGTCTACCCCTCAACTCACTCAACCATTTTCTATGAAAGTATAGCCTCCAGGCATATCACCCCATGACCCCAGAGTCCCCCTTATATCCTGAAACGAGAACGTCGAAAATCTTCATATGTACGTAAGACTCCCGCCCGTACAGTCTGAAGCAGGAGTAGCTCAACATTTCTCGATCCAGGTGAGCCACAGGTAAACACAGAATGAAAGCTGGAGTGTACTGGAAGAAACTGAGGGAGTAGTGACCGGCCAGAATTTTCTTGCAATTTTCTCGTTATTACGTGATAAATAATAGGTGTAGCCATGTGATTCTGGAACATACAGTGGGAGAAAGCTTAGGTAAGTACATGGTAAACCTTAATATGGTGGATGGTACCTGGTTTATCGGATAATACGAAAATGCTGGAGACGACTCCGTAGCTGTATTGGAAAACCTATTCATGTTTAGTGGAATAATGTAATATTTCGTCAATATAATGTAATATTTAAGTCATTTCATCGATTTAAAATAAATTCTCGAAGCACATAATCACAATGTTGATTAATACTGAATCGAAGTGTTACGTTATAGAGAGATGAATGAAAAACTCAGCAGCAGTAACTGAGTTTCCGCAGTTCTCAGGGTCAAGGTGGTGGGGTGAGGCTTCTGAAGATGATACTCGATGTTTATTTGTTATAACGGGATAAGCTACCTGATGTTTATACATCATATTTGATTACGTTGCGTGATGGATTTTTTTTATGGGGATTAGCCCACTCGGTCACAGGTCACCGACCCACAACTGGGCTTGGGGGGGGGGGCGATAAGAAAGTACCATAAATAAATAAAAATCGAAAATATAAAACAGATCAAGAGTAAGAAACGATATATATATATATATATATATATATATATATATATATATATATATATATATATATATAATATAACACCTCAACCTGCCAGATTCGAACCCACGGCCCACGAGCCTATGACTGTGACTGGGGAACGTTAAGCTAATGAAATATATATATATATATATATATATATATATATATATATATATATATATATATATATATATATATATATATATATAGTGTTGTCAAATTAAGAAACAATTGAGACCATACGATTGTGTGTAAATAAGGCAGAAAGCCAGATCAGCAACCTAGCTGAGACTACCGTCACAATTTTCGTAATGCCACATGGCAGCAGGGTCTACCAGTAGAGAACACATTATGCTGCTTCCAATATCTTCCCAGGCGGGTAGTACGTCCCTGTTTGATAGCTGTCTAATTAATACCTGCTACCTAGTTTTTGTAGAGGGTTAGGTTAGGTGAAGTTTTAGATTGTTAGGTTCGTGGAATTTCTCATGAAGTTTGGCTACGTAATGTTTAATTCGCAGGAAAATGATTTTCAGTTAGCTCGGCTCCCAGAGTATATTTCTAAGTAGGGGCTGGGAAATGCGGCGTTACTCTTTGGAAGTTAGACTATACGTGAGCTCACTTAGTAACCCACAGTACAGCTTCATGATCCCCCCCCTCCCCCTCCCTTATTTGCACCGATGACACGAATGTTTTTTTTTATTATTTCAGTGTTTTACGTTATTCCATTTAATTTCGAAACTTAGGTTGGCTAACGTGGAGATGTATAACTTAGAAGTGTTATCGGTAATTTAGGGGTTAAGAACAGTACTAACAAGTTAGTAGACTAAACAATTTTCCTTACTTGTATCTATAAACTTTCAGAAAGAAAAATACTCATTACTCTAGTTATATTCTTTTATTTGAGCGGTTTCACATTATTTTTTGGTAATTTTTCGTTATCCACCCCATGACCTTAAAAAAATATATATATATTTTGTCGCCAGTTTTCTGGCTGTTTTAGACGATTTTTACATTTATCTTTGGGAACATAACTTTTTTTTTTAGTTAGGTGAGGTTAGGTTATGTTAGGTTGGTTGGTTGGTTGGTTCCTATGGTATGAGAATATGTTATGTTTGGTGCGTTTTACTCAACTCTGACCTCCATTTTGTGCAAATTAGCAGTTTCTGTTAAAATGAAAATTTAAATTTTTTGCAAAAAAATGTAATTTGCGCAAAAAATGAAGGTCAGATTTGAGTAATAAACCAAAAATAACGTATTCTCATACCATAGGAACCAACCAACCAACAAACCTAACCTAACATCACCTATTTTCAAACCAAAGAAACCAACCAACCAACCAACCAACCAACCAACCTAACCTAACTAAAAAAAAGAAGTGATTTGCCTCAAATATAAATGTCAGAATCATCTAAAACAGCAAGAAAACTAGCGACAAAATAAATTTTTCATGTGCAAAAAAGGTGATGGGTGGATAACGAAAAATAACCATTTTTTTTCAACTCGTGTCAACCACTGAATAGATCAATGAAATTAAGTAGTAGTTCGCAGATAGTATTTCTGCCGCATTATCCAAACTTGAATTTTTAAGACATAATAATTGTTAAAAATGGTAAAAAAATGAAGATAGAAATTAGATCACAGAAAATAATAATTCCCGTAAAATTGAACCGCGAAGTAAATAATGACAACATTCGTATGTAATTTGACAGGCATAAAATTAACTTTTCTGTTCAACAGCATGACATAATTTACCAAGAAACACAATAAAAGTAATAATCATAATAATATTTTACAAGTAAATCTTGAAAAGGAATGATCGATTGGATTTCATAGAATATTATTCATTTTTCATGTACCTTAGAATGTATTACTGTCCACATTTAACTCGCTTGGCCAGAAATGTGTTTAAACGGAGAGCTTCCAAGTATTTCATCATCCAGTTTGCTCCGGTAAGCTAATAGTAAATAAAATCACTAAAAGTTTCATCCTCAAGTCTGAGGGTTGGTAACTATGATTCACCATCCTAATGTTCCCAGGGTGTCTACTAATCTTCTCAAATTTCGTGTCCCCAGAGACCCAGTCTTTATATTTTATCATTAACCTATCCCAGTTCCTTCCAAGTTAGATCTCACCGTTATCCTAGCATCAGTCCCACCTGTAATTATATGGTCACAGCATCTTATATATCACTTATTTATTTATAACTTTTCAGTACAGTATTTTTGTTGGCGCTCGAATCAGTATTCGCATTTCAATTTTTTTCTGTCAGTATAACTAATAAAACATTTTTCTGTAGCCTCACTTTTCGAAAGCCTGCCAGTCCCTCACACAAGACTTCCACCAACAGGCTTCCCGGTCGAGTATAATCCACGCTCTAACACACTGCTGGGGAGGGGTTGGATAATCTTATAACACGATACTCTCTCACCTCCAGCGTAGTTCACATCGCGACCTCCTGTCACCCTCTCCCGATCAGCCTGTCGGAAGCCACAACCTAGACTAGCAACAAAGATCTAAGCCAATCATGAAGGTTCCTTGTAATTACTTCTTGAGTAACTACTAACCGCTAGTTTCCATCCTGGTCATTACAAAATTGCAAGTCTGCTACCATGATTCGTTCTAAGATTTATTGTTAATTTAGCAATAACCACTTATTTCCTTCTTTACCGCAGCTACCAAACAGGGAAGATATTGGAGGCATAATGTATTGTCTAATGGTAGACCCTGCTGCCATATGGCATCACGAAAATTGTCACCAAGTCCCCAGGTTGCTGATCTGACTTCCTGCCTCATTTACACACAATTGCAGGGTCTCAATTGTTTTTCTTACTTTGACAACACAATATACATATATTGTTTCTCACTCTTGATCTTTTTTTTTCATTTCTGTATTTCTTTATGGTTCTTTATTATTATTATTATTATTATTACAAATTTTTGTAATACCACTGTACTATTTGTAATAAGAGTACTATCATCTATAGCCTACTGTATATCGAAAACTCAATATTATTTTCGCATTCGTCTTAAGTCTTCTCTGAATTGAAAAAAGAAAAAAAAACACTAGTGTTGGGAGAGTTACCCGAATGATAAGATAGCGTAGTAAATAACTTGTATGATAGTTTAACATGCTGTAGGTCACATACTGTATATGTTAAGTAAATTGCTTGTGTAACGCTGACGGATGGCTACGTAAACCAGAAATTTATTTGAATGAAGAAGGAACAAGAATGTTTAGCTTATCTGCTATGATGCATGTTAACAAACCTAGAAATAATTAAAAAAATAGCTAATTAAGGTACATTAATTTTGTATTAGATGTTGGTGTCATATACTGCAGTTATGAAGTGGTCCAAAAGCTTTAATGATGTCTAGATAAGGGTCTTGCCTTTGAATAGCAAAGAGATAACGGGACTTTAACCCCTGAAAGGCTATAATTTAACCCTTTGAGGACGACGATTTAACCCTTTGAGAACGATGATTTAACCCTGCAGAAATTGGGAGGTATAAAATTGCAATGCAACCGACGTGTGTTGTGTTTACTCTGCCCACACCTGCATGGTAGGGTATTGTTTTTGGTCCTCTGCCTGTCCCCAAAATAACTCTAGAACGGGTTTGCATCAAACCTGTTAGGTTTGATCAACATGTGACAAGATCTACATCCTAAACTCGTGATGCAAATCGCGCCTAAATTTATCGAGGTTACCATGGTAGCGGTTCTCGCTATGATAATATATATATATATTTTTAGGGTGTTAAAGAAAATGATGACAAGACTATCTTCAGCGGTGACTGAATTAATTAAAAACAACATCGTCACTGGTTTGGCATTTACCCTATGGCCGTAATTAATGAATAGCCGGCAAGGTTTGCATTTGGTCGGATGGTACAACATTTCGTCACTAAGGGGGTGTTATATATGTAGTTTTCAAGAAGCATGATTTGTAATTGCAAACTTTGTGTTATAAAACATATATTTTGTATAAAAGAAACGTGTCTCTGCTTTTTATTGTTGGAAATTGGCAATATCTCACTTTTGCTTGACATAGAAACCCAGGGAATGTCCAATGTCCTTTACAATACTGTATAAAGTGCTCGGTTGCTCTAAGTATTTTCCATGTAAGGTTTTGATTGTACAAACACTAGATTGAACTTCATGCCAATAAGATAGCTACCGTTACATATACTGAGTATTTGCCCTGACAGTTAACATCAGCTTAAGTTTGGTGTTATGTGAGGGTTAAGGTACTATCCCGTTGAAAAAAAATACGGCACAAACGTTATATATTGTTATATATTTTAATAATTCCACCTATATCTTACATTTTGATACTGGACCATTCGTTAGTTTTTTTTTTTAGTGTTTTACCCCATCACTTTTGGATGGGATGGATAAAAGAAAACTAATTTCAGAAAAGGGAAGAAATACTGTATTGTTTTCGCCACTGATCGGCTCATGGTGCAAGACAAGTATAGGAAGCGAAAACTTAATATTCTTCATGTTAAATGTGATAAAATGTAGTGGGGAACATGAGCTTCTAAATTAGTGTGAATAATCATTGGGCTACTCAGCTGATCAATATTTTGCGGCTGAGGTTGAGAGGGGGAATCACCTGCTACTGGACCTGATCAATAATTGTGGCAGAGGACGTATTGACCAGTGTGTATGAGAGTGCAGTATTGGTGCTGGCCAGTGTCGCTCTCCGTATACTGAGCAAAATAATGATTTCATTCCATATTATTATTAGGTACATGCAGTTCGTACTTGTAGCAATTAAGTATGATGAAATTTCTAGTTAAGCATTATATTCTCGGATTTATAAGGCCAGACCATTTGTTAAGGTGATATTCCAAACACACGGGTACAGAAAACCCCATGTCTATCATACAGACAATCTGTACGATCATGTTATTAGCCCCGTGCACCAACAGAATAAAGGAAATGTTTCCAATAGTTTGAGTACCTTGGTTAAAGGAGATTTTTATCTAAGGCAGCGTTGGAGGCATTTCTGGTAAACACATAGCCTATCGTTTAAAAAAAAGTTTCTCTCTCTCTTTTATAGTAAAACTAATATAATGTACAAAAACATTAATGATTGTATAATTTTTAATTCACATAATATAAACCCGTTCTATATCAAGATATCGAGTTTAATTTTTTTATACTGTATGAAATTGGCTCATGATAATGCTCACACTCATAGATATACTCAGGAGAGATGGGCATGTTTATGATAATTGTGTGCTGCCTAGAACAAGTGTGTGCGGCGAATAACACTATGTTGTACCCACAGGCGGGCGTGGGAGAGGATGAGCGCCTGTGGCGAGTGGTGGTGGTGGTGCGCAAGGCCAGGTCGTCTACCTCGCGCTGCGCCTCTCTCCATCCTTCTGGCAACAGTTCTCACCCTCATCTCCCTTCTTTTCCTCCTCAATGCTAAAGGTGAGTCTTTTAACACATACACGTCAGTGGCGTATATGGGGGGGTGTATGTGGCCGTGGCCCCCTCCCTTTGCTACTGCCCTCAACTCATTCAACATGATCATAAAAAATAAAACATTTCAAAAAGTTTGAGCGAGTCAATCATATGCCAATGGGCTTTCCCCTTTCCAGAAACTTACACACACACGCACACACGGCTTAGTGTTGGTCCAGGACTCCGAAACAAATATCCGTCCAATTTTGGTGTTTTGATGTGTAAGTATTGTTATTTTCAGCTAATTAAATATCATCCATTGTTTTTATTCAATAATCCTAAATTCAAGTTTTTCTTTTTAACTAGAATACTTTGGTGGTACAGCGAAAGAACGATTGCCTCATCACTAAAGTTGCGGGTATTACGATTTTATTACCGTGTGCGTTACTTTTATCCTCTTCGCCACTAATCGTTTCGTTAGCCGCTTGAGCGGTCGGTCACGTCTTTGTTACGCACCGTTTGCAAGTACTGGGCCTGTACTGGCCCCAGAATACTATAACTGTACCTGCTTCAGTGTTGGTCAAGTCTGGTCTTGAAGGAGCTCACACTCGGGCAGATTGTTCTAAGAGTTTGCAATTCTTACTCCAAAAAAGTTTCTCATTTTTCTTCAACCGTGAGCTGTGACCCACTCGTCCTAACAAACATCGTAGGTTTTCTCCTGTAGGCTACTAACACTGGACCAAAGTCTAATTAAACTTTGCAGTGGACAAAGAAAGTCGTGACAAAGACCAGACCGACCATCCGAACGGCTAGCAAGCCGATAAGAAGTGGAAAAGATAGTTTTTTATTTAGTATATTCTTTTACCTTTATTTTTCTTTGCCTATCGTGTGCCATTAAAGCCAGTGGCCCGCGCAGGATCCCTCCATCGTTCTATAGTCTTGTCTAGGGCTGTTTTGAAACCCAGTACTGTTCTCGATCTTACAGCTTGAGCTGGCAGACTGTTTCATAGGTCTACCACCCTCTATGAAGGAATATTTCTTTATGTTCGTTCTGCATAGAACATTCCAAACCTCACCAGGGAGGCTTGAACTCAGACCTACAACAGGGAGACAGGAACGTCTCATTGGTGGTGGCTTTGCTATTCAGACTTTCATTTTATGTACAGTACATGTTTCCAGAAACATACAGTATAGGTATTCGGTTTTATGATAATATTTTATTCTGTAAAGTTGTCATACAGGTTTACTATCTGATAAGAATGTTTATAAACTATGTAGTTGTACAGTTCAGCATGGATAAAGACAATGTAGGTGTTGTATACGGTGCACGCAGGCCGTGGGAGTGTAGTTCCCTGTGTACAGACAGACACATTACAGGGAAACAACAACGGTACACAGGCAACTTGACCAATGATAGCCGACAAAGCTGCTGGTCTTTTGCTTAGGCTTACGTATGGTCTCTAATCAGTAATTGTATGTCAAGGGGAGTATTAATAAAAGTTTATTTGATAGACTTTGTCAACAAGTTTTACATTGATCTTGGACTATCCGAGTATCGGATCACTACCACAGTTGTACATTCTGTGGATTAATAATATAGAAACTTGCTCTTCTCTTGCTGTAGCTTCATCTGTTATGTACCTCTTTGTTTTAGCTTTGAATTGCTTCATACTGCAACCGGTTTTGATGTGGTCTGGTAACTTTCTTGTTCCCGCCTGTTATAGCATAGCAATAAAGAAAGCGTTTTTCGCTGCTTTGATTTTTTTGGCTCTCCGTATTAATATTTCCATGCTCTCTGAAGAGCTTGAAATAGAAAACGAGTATCGTAGCAGGGGTACTAACATATTATATATCGGTCGCTTCAGAATTTGTGTTTGAATGCGAAATGCTTCAAATTAGGACACCGCTCTGGATCAAATCTCAGTAATTTCTGAGAACCACACTACCACCAGAAGGAGTTGTTCGATTTCGTATTTTTTTTCCACAGATGGGATCTTATTAAAAATTTGGACTGTGTTAAATTTTTTTTTAAATTTGTCACAAGTACAGTTTTTTATGCTGATTCTAAGTATGCAACTCATTTTTGGCGAAAATAAATATTTAAAATTTTATTAGCGTTTGTTTGCAGGAACGGTGTCTGTTTTTGCTGTTGAATGAAAATGAGCGATAATACAATAATTGTTTTCAACCTAACCCAAGTGCAGTATTGTCGACGTTGACTTAATGTCCTTCCTCGCATTAAGTTGGGATGCACACTCATCTGGCAAGTCTTTAAAGTGGAGTATGCCTCGCAATTTTTTTTACCGCCAACCCTATAAGTCACACAGATAACACCCTGTTACGAGTTGGGGATTTAGAATATAGTTAAACGTCTACCCAGATCCCAACAGGCAACAACAATAAAAAAACAAAGACAATCGGACTATAAAAGGGTAGACAAAGGATGGGAGTTTTTGTTGTGTATAATAAAGTACCATAAATTCCTTAACAAAATATTCAGCTTCCTACAATTTACCCTTAACCATACTTAACCTAAACATACGCAACATTGGCTTAACAGTATATACATATTTACACAACATACAACAATCTGAAGCAAGGTGGAGGTGGGGAGGCAATATAAGATTACAAAATACTCAAGTGCAGTGCTGAGATGGCTGACGAGTAAGGCTGAGTATTGAAGAAGATGGTAGGTAGTCACTGTTCCGTAGGTCTCCAGGATAGGTGACCCTAGTGTGGTCACTTCCCAGAGTGAACTGAACTCCCCTCGATCTGGAGCTGATGAAGAAGACTTGGAGGAGGTGACGCAACAACCAGGATATAGAGAAAGGAAACCCCGGAGTGGTGACTAAGACTAGTCATACTCGGTTTTCGTCCCTAGATGGCGTTGCTCGTGGTGCTGGGAAGGTAGATCATGACAATAGATGGCGTGGTTCGTAGTGCTGGGTAGGTAGATCATAACAATTGATGGCGTGGTTCGTAACACACCCCTTAAAGCACTTTTACTTTTTACTTTTATCCTCTTCACCACTGATAGGCTTGATAACTGCCCAAGCGGCCAATGTGACTATGAATAAAATTAATACAGAAGAAAGAATTAGTATGTGGATTTTTCGCGAAGTGATAATAATACTTTTGCATACGAGATGATGTAACATAATTGTTGATGGATCCTTAGTTATGCTTGTGTACCGTTATAGTACTGAAATAGCAGCACCACGTATGAATCAATATATTGAACCTCTTATTCGAGACCTCTTTTTAGCACTTTTTAGTCTTCCTTGATACCTTTCCTTTCACTTGACCTCTCTTAGTAAGTCGTCCTTGGCAAGTGTCCTCTGCTGGTAATTAACCTCCTATTTGGTCTTCCATGGTGAACTTCCATTTCTATCGATCCCATATTATTTCCTCTAAGTTACATTCCTGTTTATGGTATTCTTCTGATTATCCCTCTTATGTCAGTGTCTCCTATTCATCATCTGTTTTCCATCATCCACAGCGCTGAACCGCCACTCGTCCCCTCGCCAGGTATTGGAGTTAGAGGACCATGACCTCGAGGGGGCGCCGCAACACCACCCAGACCTGGTCACCTACATCAGGCAGCTCCACCTGGTGTCGCCATCCTTGGGACCTTATAACCTCCACAGCCCCAACACCACAGACTTTTCCCAGAATGGCCAAAGTAGACAAATAGAGGAGATCCTGAAAGGCAAGGTGAGGCTCATGGTATTATTTGGTAAGATAGTTAGGGTTTTCCTACTAGGTAGAAATACTGTATATTAGTCTTCATTATTTTTCTTTTTGATAGTTTTTTGTTATGCATCAGAGAAGGTGTGGTTAAGAGAGAGTACTGTAGTCTTTCCAGAATTAATGCAGTACATTCTGTATACAGTTCTGTGCTTTTTCTAAATAATATTACATGTGTTTGGCAATTGAAGGTTGATTCTTGTAAAATAATTTGGAATTCTGTGTAAATTCTTATTATTTTTTTATTAAGGTGTGCTCTTTTCTCCTAAATTAGGGTAAGTGTTTTTATGTATTAAAAGTTTAGGTATTAAGGAATTGTTGCAAATCCATTGTGGGTGTTCTTATAATTTCACTCAGTAGTTTTTGAGATCAAGAAAATCTCATAGGTATAATAGAACATTTAATCATCTTTGATAACCCAAATAGTCTGACATCTAACATCTATAATTTCTTAATTATTCATATTTTATTCATGTTGCTCATTCTTACATCCATATTAAGTATCCCAAGACCTTTCCACATACTTTCGTCTACTTCATTCTTACAGCCACACAACAATTATTCATTCTCCATTCAGTCTGCCACTCATAACTACATCTTATTTTTGTGGCGTGTTCTCAGTAATCGGCGGCAATAATAAAAATATTTGACAGGTATTCCTTGCAATAATTTCTGGTATTGTGAATACTGTACCAATTTTGTAAATCAAACTCGTCAGAAAGATGAAACTTTTATGTTTCATTTATGTTTAAAATATAATCTCAGCCCAATTGGGTCCAACATAACCATCAAGATCCTAGTTGTACCTAGTATTCAGGGAGACCTAATCCTTATGGTTTGGTTATATTGGGCCCCATTGGAACTGAAGTCTCTGCAACCTACCTCCCTATTATTAAGTTTCACGGAGTTAGTGTGTGATGTTTAGCGTGGCGGGTTGTTCGTGGAGGCAGGAGCATACAACGGGGAGGAGCTAAGCAACACCTTATACCTGGAGCGACAGTTGGGTTGGCGGGGTCTCCTGGTGGAACCAGACCCCTGGAACTTCTGGGCGCTCCGCAAAAGAGGCAGGAGAGCCCACTCCATCCACGCCTGCCTCTCTCCCTACCCCTTCCCCAGGGAGGTCACCTTCAAGTGAGTGTCACTTTTTTTTGTGTAAATTTTTTTCAAAGTTAGCATCATTCTTTGTTATATAGCCCTTATCATTTTCTCTCTCTCTATTTATTAGCAACAATCTCCTCCTTCAACCTGTTACCACTCCACACAGGCAGAGCGACACCATGGGTCACATCGTCAATGGAGGTGATGACGCTAGTCGCCACGGCATCTTCACTAGAGTCAAGTGCTTCCCCCTTTACTCCCTCCTCCTCGCCCTCAACACCACCCGCCTAGACCTCTTGTCTCTCGATGTGGAAGGCGCCGAGTTACAGGTGTGTCGTGGCTTACTGGAAAAGATGTAATGAAGGGTTTTTTATGATAGTGTTATCAATAAGGTGGCTTTGAATGCTGCATTGTATGATTCTGCTGTCAAGGGTTTTAGTATATTTTGGGTGTGTATTGTATGGTTCAACCCTTGTAGTTGCCCCTATGGCAGAGAACACGCAAAGAATATTGAAAATTTATGTCTCGACTCTCAAAGACTAACCGTAGTATTATTCACCCACATGAAATGATGACCCAAGTAGTTATTTGCCCACAGGTGTTAAAGACTTGACTCATAGTGACAGGTGTTACCGACCCAAACTCTATAATGAAATTTTTCGGCAGGTGTTGAGGACAGTGCCATGGGAGGCAGTGAGGATTGAGGTAATATGTGTGGAGTACCGTCACGTGCCTGAGGGGAAACTCGCTCTCAGCTCCTTTCTACAGGAGCGAGGCTACACCCTCCACTCCACCCTCGGCGACGATTACATTTTTGTCAGACGGGACCTCGAGCGCCCCAGTTTAGGAATTTTGTAGGACTGAACCCCTCTACTTATTACTTATTTAAGGAAAATGTTCCATAGTGCTTCTACTATTTTTAAAGACCTGCAAAATAGTTTTAACTTTTGTTGTTTGCTATTTTTAGTTGTTAAGTACAGTACAGTATACAGTTTTAAAGAGAGGTCAAAGTTTATAAACTGTTTCTTTATTTTATAATCTGAACAGTACATTTTTGTGCCTAAGAATATGGTTGTATTTATGATGTATATTTGAAAATAGTGTAGAGAGGAATTAATGTTAAAGTGAAATTACTGTATTTTTATATTTTTATGGACTGCCGAGTACTGTACAGTATACAGAATATACCCTAGAGTGTGTGATCATGTTGCAAGAACTACAGTATGTACTGAACTGTATCTGTCACACATGAATTTTTGTTTGTTGTCATATTGTGACAAAATAAGCAAATTCAAGTCACAAAATATTAAAAACTTTGATACTATATATAGATTTTATTTAAGTTAATGTACATTTGCTGATGCTTAGACATAGTTAATTCCCATAGCTTCAAAATCAGGAATTAAATGACGCTAATAATCTCCATCCAGTCACCGTCTATTCAAATTGAACAAGATACAGGGAGTATTTGAGATTCATCATGCTAACTGCTCCTTTGCTGATGTGAAATTTATTGAAATATTCAGTAGTATTACTAGAGTTTGGATGATGATATTATTTGAAATAACAAACAAAGCGATTTCAGCATAATACAGTACTGTATATTTTAATAGTGTCTGTAGCACTATTTATTTATTTTAACTTGTTACTTTTATAAGTAATGAATACCTTAGTGAATCTTTTCCCCAATTTTTGACACAGCTTGTAAGAAAGGTACAGTCCCCCCCAAAAAGGATCGTTAACCATAGGGTTGATGAGATTCGAGGCTTCCCAAGCAATATTACAGGACCAGTTTCTGAATGGTTGGTAGTTCTACATCCACAATCTTTGAGCATGAATAAAGTATATACATTTTCGAATGATACATACTGTACAATAATATAGTTTAACGGATTTCTTGTAATATTGAAGTATCTAGTATGCCTTAAAAGGACGACTCCCTCTCCCAATCCTACCTCCATATCTAATTGGTGATGATATAGCGAGCATGAATACCAACTTATGATGATGCACTGGGGATCATATCAAAGAATTTTGTCTAGTGTTTCAAACTATAGTGACGGACAATGTAATGATACTTTTGGGGGGCTGTGCATGAACAGCAAATGATTTCATAAGTAACACAAGAATTGGGATTTTACTTCTATGGTTTCAAATTGTTTAAGTAATAATCAGTTTCAACACCAAGCCTTATTGTATTCTTACTTCTTACTTTTATCATCTTCGCCACTAATTGGCGCGTTAGCCGCTTGGGCGGTCGGTCACGTCTCTGATACACACTGTTGGCAGATACTGGGCATGCACTGGCTCCTGAATATATCGGAACCTGCTCCAGTGTTGGTTAAGTCTGGCCTTCCATGTCTTCTTTTCTATAAAGAATTTAGTGTAGATCTGATATTGGTAATTTGGGGAAAGGGAGACAGATAGAAATTCTTCTCTCAAGTAAGGGCGTTCATCAACAGAGAAAATAAATTTCAGTACGTACATTCAAACCATACACCATCGATAGCTCCCCTTATTGGTACAATAAGTTTGTATTATCCGTTTATTGCATGAACGGATAGTGCAGATTAAACAAACAATATAGACAAAGACTCCTCATTATTATAAAAGAAACTAAGATTTTATTGTACCGTAAACATGAAAAAATTAAATACAGTAATTACCTCTGTGAATACATTTGTTAAAATATTCCAAGCATCATTACGATAACTAATTACCCCTCAATCTAATTGTCATCCATAGATTCAGAATCAGCATGCTCAGGAATACAGTATGTACCTTTAATGAGATTTTGAACAAAATCCAATTTTGGGCCAAAACAGCCAAAAGTGTAAGCTTAATGGTTTAAGATATTTGGACCAAATCTATACATTTCTCTTGAAATTGGTATTTAAAGGATTTAACTAATTAAGTATTTCCAGAATAACACCAAAAAGTCACATCAGAAACCCATAGTTGGCAAGTAGTAATTAGCACTGAAAAAATTTCATTATAATCTTCCAAGCATCAATACGACTACTGATTACTGTACTACTACTACTGCGACGTTGCCAATTAGATACACGAGTTACCACAGGGGATGTAGAAACACATTTCTGCAACTGTACAGTACCTGGGGAAGTGCAAACCTAGGAATAAAATGGGAAACCCTATAGATAAAAGGCTCCTGATTTGTTGCTTCCAATCCCTCTTCCTCACTCTCCCAAGCCTCTGACTCATTCACACAATAAGTAATTAAATTATTTTATACCTGTTGATGGTGTAGTTACACAAGGAGAACACACCTCCAGGATTTCCATTCCCTTACCTATTCATACTCTCCTTATGGATGTTAAACTCCTTTATCACTAACCAATAATTCAACTAACTGCCAAATCTTGGCAACCCTCATTTAACCTACAATCCATAGTTTTAAGATTAAGTTAAAGTCAAACTTTGACCATTGATACGAGTCATCATTGTGGAGGATTGGTGTTCTACTTCCTAAATACTTTGAGTTTTAACCTTTAAACTTTTAAAGTACAAATACGGCAATTGCTATGGGTCACCCACAAACATTTTGTAATTGGTTGATAACCAGCCATCATTTGAAAATCTTAACAAATATTATAAATTTCAGTCAAGAGCTGTCATACTCGGTACTGTACAGGGACACTCAGTTGAGCAACCTTAATAGGATTTATTTTTTCTTCACATGCATTGCACTTCTGTTAAACTTTCAAAAGATTATAATTACTGTACAGTACTTCTTTATGCAATTTTTATTGTATGTTGTACCTCGGCTTATGAAGGACTAATCAAATTATGAATCAAGCAATTCATGTTGTAGATTCCAAAAAAAATGCAAGTAGGAAACACCAATACAAAATAAAGCTCTCAAGTTATACTTTATTACCAGTTATTTCTGAAAATGATGAACATATAATGGCATGATTTCCATGACAGCAGTGACCATGAGGGCTACAATGATGCATCATATGAGGACACCAGTGAGATGCCGGCAAGTTCATCTTCCCATGATGGTGATGGAATATCACTGGAGTTGATTTCATGGCAACTCTTGATGGTGCTGATACACAAGGAAAACACATACCTCCTTCTGGACTTTCCCTCCCTTGCTCATTATCACAATCTCCTATGCATGATCCACGTCTTCTGTTCTTTGGGGTGAGAGGCCAAGGACGGTTAACGTGTATGGTATCTGGGCCAGACTGGTCTGTTCCGGTTGAGCTGTGGTGTTTAGGTAAACTGTTGCTACGCACAAGACCACATGATCTTCTGTTATGATGACACTGAATAACAGGTTGTGTGAAGTAGGGGCAGTGAGAGCAATGTGTATGACTTGCATAATGAGGCCTATAATCTAAAGCAGTGATATGTTCATTGTGTTTATGAACTAATGACTCTGACAAATTAAGTTTTCCTACATCTAGTAATGTTGAAGCTATAGATGTAGAATGTACAGTGCTTGGTTGGGATGACAAGTGGCTACCAGAGCTTCCTGAATCAGACACTAAGGCAGGGAGTTCTAATGCATCAACAGCTGAGACACATGAAACTGCTGAATCTTTTTGTGATGAGTAATAATTTATTCTCTTTGAATCACGGATTTTATTTTGAGGAGACCCAGATGAAGAACCAATGAGAGATTTTGGCCACTTTGAGTCTCTTGTTTCTGAAAGAGGAGGTGGTGGTGGTGTGGGTGTAGGTGTAGGTGGCGGTGACAGAAGAGGCCAGGAAGATTGTGGTGGTGATGGGAGCAGGGGTGACACAACTGGGGATGGATTTGAGGAGGGTGTTGGTAAAGACAAGTCCAATGGCATCATAGACAACAGAGGGGAGGGGATATGAGGCTGTGGGGAAGGAATAGGTGCAAGTGGATATGGAAGTGGAGGAGAAGACAAAAATGGTGGTGGTGGAGGAGTTGGTACAGAGGACTCCATCCATGCAACATCTGCACCAAGATCAGGTCTGCAAAAGAATGAAAAAAAAATATATATACAGTATGTACATTATCACTTTTTCTTGCAAACTTAATACAGGCATGAGACCATTTATCTGGTGCCCCAGTATCAAGAATGCTCCAAAAACAAGCTACGTATTGGAACAAATTATTTAAAATTAGCACCAAATCCTGTACAGTTCCATATTTCCCAGGCCAAGCAGTGAAATTTCCAACCATTCTCCACCTGTGAGGTATACCCTATGCGATGACAATGGTTCTTCAACATTTTCGTTGCGATCCCAAACTGGATGTCAGGCATGCTCGCAGACCATAGTATAAAAAAGGGTGTTACTGTATGTTCACACTTACCCTTGTAAACTATTTGAGAAAGCTGTTGAGGATGGTGTGGTGACAAGTGTTTGTGCAGTGCAAGAGGATGCCAAGGGGGTTCTTCGTCGACGTTTCCACTTGACCCAGAGAATGGCTATGCCTACCACTGACACCATGACTCCACATGTCCCTGCTGTTGCAGCAGTTGCAATGATTACCATATCTTGACCTACAATATCAAAGAAGTGTCTGCACAAGAGGAACTAGAGTACCACAAGTGGCACATAATGTGCCTACCTAAATTCCCAAATTGAAAGGGATCATTCTCTCCCTTGAGGTAATATATGTGGTATGTAATATGTTTATAAGTGCAAGGAAACTGGAGATACTGATACAGTATGGAATTAAAATTCTAGTTTTAAAAACAATGGCCTTGGCCCAGTGGCCCTATAATAAAATCAATGCAACATGAATCTCTGTAATGTTATATTTATCAGAGCATGGAAATGTAGGAAACCAAATTCCTAATTTTAGTAACAATGACCTTGAACATAACAGAGTACTGTACTGTAATTCCCAAAGTTGACAAGAGAATAATACTTACATTCAGTTTCATCAGATTGATCTCCTTCAGAGCAATTGGGTTGACCATCACAGACTAGACTGGGGTGGATGCAGAAGTTAGCAGTGGTGATGCAGCCACCATCCCTGGATATACCCACACAGTACACTGACCGTGGGCACCAGAATCCTCTATGGCTGCTACAGTTAGCTAACAAAGGAAGTAGATGAGTTATTAAAATAATCCTTATTATGTACCATATACTGTATATCAATGGATAATCATATGTGAGCCTGCGAGGATTCTACGAGACAATGTTTGTTCAAAAATGGTTATTATCTCTGGCACTATAAAATACTGAAAATTATGTCTTTGGAAATCAACAATTTTGCCTTACCTTGTGTAGTGAGTAACACTTCAGTCCAGAAAAGATGAAAACCTGCAAACTTTGTGGTATTGTCAGAAGGTTCACCCGTCCTGCCACAAGAAAGATCATGTCAAATACTATTCTGACATTTCATAATGATCACAAAACTCCAGGAAATGAAAGTACACGAACTAATCCATGTCTACAATATTTAAAAAAAAATCATACTAGTCTAAAAATAAAGAATGTCTTCCACCCGAACATTCATAACCTGTTGGTGTAAGCTTAGTACAAAATTAGTCTTCCATTCAGGCACATCGTCATACAGTACTCAAATAGTGAAACAAAGACGTATATATAAGGGCCACGCTCAGTGTTTTCCTTAAGAGTCGACCACCAGCACATGTGATCGATTTTAGCCAACTTCTCGGCTAGTTTAAATTGTTCAAGAAATATAATCTTCACATATCTGCTACAGAAAAGATAACAATCTAAACTTTAATTTATATCTAAACACATTTGCCTTCACTCTATTACTCATTCAAATTAAGTTTGTTTATTGATTTTTTTACCTAAGTAAAGAATCTCTTGATCCCTCATTTCTTCAGGTCATTTTTTGCCTACTGTATTATGAAAACATTTAATGAACCACCTTAAAACTTACCTGAAGGTGACAAGGAGTCTGTTCCACTGACTGAGAACCACTTTATCAGCCTGATTGCGGTAGTAATGGAGGTCACCACAGAAAGACTTCAACCTCTCCTGTAAGTTGCCCTGTGGCTGGTATCCATCATGGATGGCCAACTCTGCTCGACGACAGTTAGCTTAAGAAAAGAAAGAAATTCACTTGGTACAGTTCAATGCAGGTTGGCTTATCGTCAGAAAAGATATAGTTGACCATTCAGTCATTCTAGTTAAATTTAAATTGCAGTGAAACATTAATAATTCAAACAAATTTATATAGTTCGAAATTCCAAGCAATCGCCTGGCAATTTAAACTTACCTCGAATTAGGATGAACGATGTAAAATCTTCCACTTAAGTAACCACATGTGCCTCATATATCCACATATCTGGAGCCTAATCCTGTACAATATGTGGCTGTGTAGTTCCAGCTAAGACTCAGCATAGTGAAATAGTAACATGAAATTTTAGCCATCTTTTGAACAATTTAACAACTCTGCTGATCTACTGGACAGCCTCGGTGGATCCAATGGAGGGGATCCACATCCCTATGCTTGGTCTTATGGTGCCCCTACAGACCCCTGCCCTGCTAACTCCCATTGCCAACCTCCTGATCAACCCATCATCCTTTGTGTCAACATGCTTCTTCTCCTCGCTACCAACCTTCGATTCTGCTCCCACCCCTCACTGTCCTGTCAACAACCCTTTACTAGCATACCTTGCTTACATATTGTATTGGATCAACTTTTACATACAGTATCATGTTACAATAATTTGACTACTGATATATCACAGAGGGGAGGATCCAGGAATATCAAAGAAGTTGTGGGTGGGGAACATGGCGAGCACAGCGAGCCCACCCAGCTGGTTATTTTTTGGGGTGGGGGACTGTAATTGACCCCCTCGAAAAATGTTTAAAATCTGACCAATATCGTGGGCATTTTGAGGTCCTTTTGAAGCAATGTGCACTTGATGTTAACATATTCTGAGGTTAATAGAAATTAATTTTTACTATACAAAAACACCTGAGTACAATACAGCCTTAAAATAAAAGTAATGGAATTTTCTGATGAAAAGGGGGGTCAAGACCCCCAGGACCCCCATGGATCTGCCCCTGCCTTATGATCTCTGCTCCTTATAATCTTTTTCGCACTATCTTTCATAGGATTAATAAAGGGGTGCACAGTAAACTTGCCGCTGCCCATGGCAAACATAATTTTCCCGTTTCAGTATACCTCGAATAATACCTTTGTCTACATCATATCCATAAAGCTTAAAATTCTCTGGGTTTTGTTTGGGTGCAAAATAATTTTCTAATAGAAGAAATTTATATACTGTACTGTACTGTACTTGGCCAGTGTAAAATACCAACCTTTGATGTGCAGACATGCATGAAGCCACAAGAAAATTTTACTAATTTATTTAAAATTATCGGCATATTAGATCCACCCCCATGTAGTTTGAATTATTGAGGTTTCATTATAATAAAAACTGGATGATTTAGTCCTACAGAACTAACGTACAGTACATGCACCCCTTCCTTACCTATGCTGCCCTGAAGCTGGAGCTGGTGCACATAGAGGTACACGTGGTAGTGAGGACGTGCCCGCAGCAGCCATGTACACGACAATCCCGCCGGGAAGCCTTGGGGGAACCCTGGAGATATCAGACTACCTCCCGGCCCCTCCACCAGACCCCCACACACCTCCCTGCCTCCCATCACTTGTGCCGAGGGTTTCACCGTCTCTGGGGGCGCGGCAGGCGGGTTAGCGACCTGGAGTATGGTGACATAGAATACCTGTCATAGAAAAGTTTAGTCTATCATCAAGAAAAAGTTAATGAGACTGATATTTCATGAGGGGTTATTCTATTAACAGCCACCATTTACTTTGGTTTTATATTGAAGGTACTACTATAACAAACTACATTAGAATCCCTGTGTATATATATATATATATATATATATATATATATATATATATATATATATACATATACATAGTGTGTTTGAGTCATTACATAATTGGGGCAGTACCATTTACAGGACGTGTGGAAGCTTATCTGGTTACTCAATGGATTCATCATCTTCGCCTCTAAAATTTCCTTCCAGATGTTTAATACTCCTGTAAATCTTTCACCACACTCAGAATATAAATAAATTCCCCCTAAAAGCTCTGATACACGAAATACGAATTTCATCAGTATAGATATTATCTCGTGTTGGTATAGGGAAATATGGTAATATAAAAAACTTGCCAATGAAGCTTAAAAGCAAGAAAATACTGTTAGTGGTCTACCATACTCTTCCCAACAATCAAGAGAATATACAGTCAAAGGCCCCTCGATATAAATACATACAATGCAGTTGTAAGCAAATCGAAGTTAAAGACAAATTCGTCAAACAAGTATAAGTGGTAGAAAAACTAGGAAAACAAATGCCATCTCCTCTTACCTCATCACCCATACTGCACTCCTTCCTCCCTGTGGACTTACCTTCGTGCAGGAAGACGTAGTGAGCAGAGAACCCCTGGGCGTGGAGGGCGAGGTTGGTAGTGAGGAGCAGCTCAAGGCGAGGGTGGAGGGTGAGAAGAGGACTGACCACCTCACCACCACAGTACCTCCCAACGAACTGTCTCACCCCCGCCATATCGACACTGGTCACGTCCATGTAGTCCGCCACACACCTGCTAACACCCACACACTGATATGGTTGGCTTGCAACATCTATCCTCACCTACACACTTGTATTATTAGGTTGTAACACTATCAACATATACCACCACCTACACATTCATATTACTATCTTGTAACACTACTATCAACAATGAAAGACAATTGACTAAGTTGCCTGGCTCTCATGATCCCTGATCTTACAGTTAGGATCATCAGGGACACACAGTTGATTCTTGAGTTGCTTCCCCTTCAGACCCCAACGACACTATACTGTGTGAGTATTTCATGAGTGTGCTGATGGTAGAAGCCTTTACGTGACCTTAATATAGCAGGTAAAACTTATCCAACTTATCAACCTTTCCTTTATGTTTAGTGGAGATAGTCTGCTAACCCCTTGTTTATGGGCTCCCCTCTGAACTGAATAAAATCGTCTACTGTTAGCCAAATAAATTATTAAAGTGGCGTCCCCGTGGTGAGAGGTTCAAGAAATCATCGAGGCTCACGATAAATAACCAACATCTTATCAACTTTAGTTTTTCTTTTCTTTGTGAAATTTTCAGATAAATGGGTTTCCATATAGGCTCTCAGCTATGCCACATTAACAGTCACTACCTAGCTGGGCACCGGCATGACCTCACCTTAGTGTGCTGACGTGGCAACAGTGCGTGTGTGTGTGCACCATACTAGAGCAACCTTTCTTCTTTATCTACAGGACAAAGTTGGAGATTAATATGACGCTAAATGTACACCAAGACGCAATATTAACCAGATACTTTCTCGTATCTCAAGTTAAGAGAGAGATAAAAAAAACGAGTCTTTGATATTCCGGACCGAAGAACTTATAATTTACTGACAGGCAAAATAAACAAAGTTGTTGATATCTTGGTCGGAGTATTATTTACTAAGTGATATTTTCACAAGTTTGTGATGAAAATTTTAACCAGTTTAAAATGTATTTATGGCAACGCAATTACAGCGATTTAATTAACATCCAAATTACCAAATAGTAATTAAACGGCACTTATTGTTGCAATTTACACAAATATAATACAAGCTGCAAAACTGATACAGTATTTAAAATGTAAGTATATTTCTCAATTACCTTACGCACTACCATTTGTAAACACATACTTGTATACGTGGAAGACGAGAGAGAGAGAGAGTAAAAAAAAATCCCACCCATCCTCTCTCTCTCACCCAACCCAACCTTCGTCTCTCACTATTTCACTTTCATCCCTCGACTTTTCTACATTAACTAGTACCGGGTGAGACAGGTGGTGCCCGGGCCAACTCTGCACCATCTGGCAGAATGCACCAAGTTTAAATTGCACAGCATGAACTTGCCGCGAGGGCCTGCCAGTATCACGCGAATTATATCAGAAACATCGACTGGTATATCGGGAGGAGAGAGCCCAATATTCCCATGTTGGTCGTGATTTTGGCAGAAGTTCGATATAATTAGCTTTAAATCTCATCTTTTTAAAATCAAATGTTAAGTTACGAGTTTCACCGACTACCTTGTTCTTAATTCATAGGATGTTTGTTGTGTTTATATTATGTGCCTCCAGTTAGTATAAATGACTATTAGAAATCGAATAAAAGAAGCTCAAGGAAATTCACATCTTAATCACAGTTTCAGAGGAAGTACGGTGGAATAACATCTAAATCACGACTTTGTTGTAAAAATATACTGATTTATGTTACATATTATCAATAGATCGTAAGGTAACGAGGCAAGTCAGGAAACTACCTGTTGAAGTTCTCTAAGATACATTTTTAACTTCAATTTTTTTTTTTAATAAACTGAATCAACTTCCATTAACTTTAAAGAATCATAGCTCCCATTTTTTAACCCCCAGGACGAACACACACCTTTATGTATTGTATATGAAAGAGACGTGAAGGTTTATGACATCTTGAGAGTATATCTAAAGAAAGGCGAATTATTTCCCTCTACATATATGTTACATGGCAGTGACTGTAAGAAGTAGAGTATGTGTGAGTCCTGTATCGTATGAGGCCAACCCCCCCCCCCCACACACACACATCCCTTCATTCACCACAGGTCCTCTATACACGCACAGCCCTACACATCTCTGACATCTCCCCCAAACTAATACCTACACCCATTCCACCAGTTCCTTCTCCCCTTCCCCCACACACACATCCCATCACCCACTCCACAAGCTTCCCCATACGCACCCCGCCACATAGGGTTCCTCCAGGTGGAAGGCGTGGAAGGTGATGGTGACGGCATGAAACATCTGGGCCTGGAAGACGTAGGTACACCGCAGGCCTCCAGGGTACGGACCAGGCCACCCCGGCGACGAGAAGTTACCCGAAGTCGAGACCCGGGAGTCGAAGTAGAAGATGCAGAGACCTGAGGGAGAGCAGAGATGGGGCTTGAGAAATAAGAGTGACATGCTGAAGAGAAATAGACAGACAGACAGAGACAAGAAACAGCGGCATGGGGTGAAAAGGGATGTACTGAGATAGAAGAACATAAAATTATCAGATACTTCAAGACAGAGAGACAGACAGAAATGTTGTACAGATCTGGGGTGAAGAGTGAAGGGCCTGACACCAGAGACATGAAAATAGTGACACATGATAAAGAGAGTGAGAAACAGACAGATAGAAAGACAGAGACAGACAGAAAGAGAAGACAATTACCTGGGAAGAGAGGGACAGGGCTTAAGACAGGTAAACAAAAAAAACAGATGGTGCCACGACCTAATAAAAGAAAGAGAGAGAGAGAGAGAGAGAGAGAGAGAGAGAGAGATAATTACAGAATGTTGACATCATCATCGTCAGGATGTCACTTACCCAGCACCTGTAGGGGCATCATCGCCAGGAGGGCAGCCACCAGAGTCCAGGTTGAGTCAAGACGCGGCCCTCGCCAGTTCACCTACATGGGAACACCAAAAAACAATTAGGTCAAACAACTCATTTACTGTTATTGCAGCTATCACTGTTGCCACTGTTAGGAGATTATATTTAACGACTACACAGCACGAAAACAGATGCCATTGTAAGTTTTTAAGTAGTTGTGTCGTTTCCGGGTTCATTCTAGTTATTAACACGGAACGTAATCATTTTCCTGGACCGAACACACACACACACACACACACACACACACACACACACACACACACACACACACACACACACACACACACACACACACACACACACACACACACACACACACACACACACACACACACACACCATAACACTACAGGAAGAATACAGTAATACATAAACACGTAGGTCTTGTATTCTGGTGTCCTATAACATAGTAAATGAAACGTTATCTCCTACTTCCAAAAATTTCCACAGGCATTGTATTTTGGTGGACGGAACTCTCGGTAAGCTCCTCCCTCCCCTAAAAAAAAAAAATTGTAACCCGAACCCAAATCACAGTCTTTTAGTGCAGATAAACACTAAATAAACACATTGGTGCAGTATATGGACCATAGCGTAAACACATAAAAAAATTCTTACAGGCGAAATTTCCCGATTCACCAGTGTAAAGAAAACCCATGTTGTCTAAAGCTCACCCCCCCCATATAACTTGTGTACCCAACGATCCCAAAGAGAGAGAGATCAGCCCCTCCCACCTGTAACCCCCCCCCCCTTCCACACACACACACACACACACCTACACGGTCATCACCAGCTGGTCTTATCTCCCCGTGCTGCCTCCAGAGTTGGGATTCTGAAAGGTTAGTTCCGGTGAATAAACCTCGTAGGTGAAAATGTACGAATATACCAAATTTGTAAACCTCGGCTTAAACATAATGTAGGAAAACAGTGTATCTAAATTACACTAAGACACTACTGTAACTACTGTAGATGGTATCCACTTAGCATCGGAGAAAATCACTGAAGTTTATATTTTGACAAAGATCCTGTACCTTAAATTTAGTATATCTCAACTGATGGACTGGAGGCATCCTTGGAGCAGCGGCCGATTTGATTAAGTGCTCGAGTGACCTCCTGCGTTTGGAGCACCCCTGGTCCACCCAACTGTGAATGGGTGCCAAACTTTGAACATAGTAGGGAAAAGTGAAGACGGTCGAGTGGCAGTAAGGTGGAGGACTTTAATTTTCACATACTCAGATTTGCAAAGCTTCGTACGTTAAACCTTCTCCTAATTGAATAAGTAACAACTCATTTAACATGTTCGCAGGAGCTACTGACTCGTAAATCATTTATCGTCACACAATTATCGAACAACATGGCTGACCATTTATTTAATCAACGGTTATGATTGGTTTGCGTGCGAGCAAGAGCAAGAGACTGCCAGCCCCATACAAACAAGGAAAAAAAATCAAACGCAAGGTGAAAATAAAAGATAAACCTTCCTTGGAAAAAGACTCATAAGGCAATCTGGAAACGTGGCCACAGAGCTGAGAGGTGTAGCCAATCGGTAACTTCACAGTACTTAAGAATCGAGGAGTAGACCTTTAGGTAAACTATAAAAGATAAATATTTAACTCTCAACACTACATCAACATTCGCTTCTTTTAATAACAAAGACTTAATTCCTGTAGTTTTTCAGTCAGTAATTGCTAAACACTCGATCTCTGTATCGTAAACTCATTGAAACTGGAATATTACGCATTCAGGTTTACACAGAAGCGTCCTCACGTCACTAATTACGGCTTCCTGGTGACTGCTTCCCACCCTCAACTCCTCCAGGTCACCCATGGTTATCTCCAAATCGGCAAAATTTCCTTCGAGTCAAAGCAAGATCTAAATTTTTTTTTATCTTAACCTCTTTCATATTCTCCTTTCCCTCCCTCCCGTCTCTCCCCCCCAAAAAAATTCTAAACATTTACTCGACAAAGGTGTTTGTTTAATACCTTTAAACATTACATAACGCGGAAGTAAACACAATTCTGGTAATAGGAAAAAAAATATGATGGTTACCTTAATTGTTATTGCACGGAACACAGGTACAGGTGGTGCCACTCTTAAGGTTATATTTAATCATAAAAAACTCCATTACTTTGCTACACGCATTGTTAAATAAATTTCGTTAAAGCAAAGTTGACTATTTAGCAAAAGTTACAAATGGACGACGTGTAATTATTAACAAAAAGTCAATAGAGACTAAACAAAAAAACATTAAAAGACGGAGAAGGGATTAAATGAATAGAGATAAAATGGGGAAGTGAAATTGGTAAAAAATAATGTAGGCAGGAGAGAGGAAGACCAAGAAGGCTATAGAAGATGGGGTGTACGACTCACTAGAAGCTATGTACAGTACAATCAGGAAGCAGCAGTGTGTGTGTGTGTGTGTGTGTGTGTGTAATAATAATAATAATAATAATAATAATAATAATAATAATAATAATAATAAACGGTTTATTAATAGAGATGCAGTCGGTGGCTGAAAATATACAGACTTACATTTGATTTAGACATAATGATATAATGTGCATTGTGTGTGTGTGTGTGTGTGTGTGTGTGTGTGGTCTTGTAAAAGAGTTAAAAGTAAAAAAAAAATACCTAAAGGAAATACGGATTAAAAGGAATTAAACTAATCCTTTACATAAAATAATTTTTACACGTTGTCGTGAAAATTTTACCATGCTGATAGCAAGAAACCTAACACACGAGAGAGAGAGAGAGACCTGGTCGTAAGTGTGTGTTTACATCTATACGACACACACACACACACACACACAGACTGCACATTACCTCGCACAAAAAAATAACAGTTGTCAATATATATTTTCTTGTTAAAGTATAAGTAAAATTATACATGACGTGAGTGTATTTCTACCCAGTACAAGCCTGTGCTTTCCCGTGAACAACATAAAGTGATGTAAAATTGTCTGTTTCTACTTTGTACTTTTTTAAACTCCCTGTACCTGTACTGTAATGTCTGATGTAATGCATTTCCAGACTGTACTGATAGCTATTACTTGTACTGTAGTTCCTGTATTAATTAATGTCTGTATCTGTACCTGTAGTCTGTTTCTGAATTACGAGAAACAATAATAATCCCAGAATACTTTGTGAGCAAGAAGGAATTCCATTACTCATAGCTTAAGCTGTACACAAGTTTAGGTAAGTGTTGGTGGCGGGCGGTGTAGGTCGTAAAACAAGGAATGATCGACTGTGAACGTCTCATCACATTCTTGACTGGGAGTTATGACATAGTTCACTCCCCCTCCCATCTCGCCGCCCCCTTCACTCCAGTCCTCCCTTCCCTAACTCTTATATTCTGAGCCACACACACACACACACACACACACACACACACACACACACACACACACACACACACACACACACACACACACACACACACACAACGAGAAGCCAATTTATCAGAAAGTAACTGAGGGAGAAAGTCAAGTTTGTAGCCAGGTGTTAAAGGAATGTCAAAGTATGAAAAAGTCTTTGAAAAATAAAACAAAATTAAAGTCTTTACACCGAGAAAAAAATTATAAAATATATGAAAAATAAGCAAAAAAAAAAAAAATATCTCGTGAGGTTTATTTGTTTACAGGAATATAAAAGGAAAATAATTTAAGGGATAAAATTAAAAGCCAAAGTGCGAGGAAGTGAAGCCATTAAGGGAGTGGAAATTACGATCATTCTCTTCCAGTCGAGGTTCACTATTTCGTCTCATTCTCCTTTAGACGTAAATAAGTAAACAAAGAGAAGGTTAAAGAGGTGTTCGTGAGTTGCTTTAGAGTAGGTTAGGTTAGGTTAGGTTAGGTCAGGTTAGGTTAGGTCAGGTTAGGTTAGGTCAATTCAGGTCAGGTCAGGTTAGTGTTGTGTTGTGTTAGGTTAGATAAGATTAGGTTAAGTCAGGTCAGGTCAAGTTAGGTTAGTGTTGTGTTGTGTTAGGTTAGATAAGATTAGGTTAATTCAGGTCAGGTCAAGTCAGGTTAGGTGAGTCAAACTACCAATGATTCAAACAGGAATAACATTCACAGAGCTGGCTGACGCACTAAAAACAAAACATAGCAAAACGAAGGAAAAAATAATAATAATCAAGTACACGATGTAAAGAGACTAAAGAGATAAGCTTGAGTTAAGACCTGAGAAGCAGATAGATTGTCACGTGTATAGAGACAGATGGATGGACAGACAGACAGACAGACAGACAGACAGACAGACAGACAGACAGACACATGCAAATCCATTATGTGCTCAGCGCTGAAGGGACGGAGAGGGTAGGGAGGGAGGGAGGGTAGGGAGGGAGGGAGGGAGGGAGGGAGGGAGGTTGATGTTGATGATGATGAATACTAACGATGAGAGACTGGTAGCTCATGAGGTAAATGGGGTGTAAGGAAAAAGGATGATGGAAGGATTAAGGATGTGGGCACAGGAGGAAGGAAGGAAGGAAGGAACAAAGGACGAGAAGGGAATAATACTAATAATAATAATAATGTGTATTCCGTAAAATCATCATGCAGGTTTACAAATGATTTAATTGGAATGTATATACACTATGCAGGAATACAGTTCAATGTGTATAGACGATGAAAGTATACATAGACCGTGGAGGTATACAGTTTATATGTTGTATAGAGATAGTGTAGGTATAAACTAATAGTAAGTAGGAAGACAATATGACCAAGGAGAGTCGACAAAGCTTATTTCCAGTAGGATGTAGGAAGGAAGGAGTCCGAGATGGATGGAAGAATGATGAGGTGGGGGGATGAAGGAGGAAGAAGAATGAGGGAGGAGGAAGAAGAGATAAAAGAAGAATGAGGCATCAAAGTGAGGGATGAGATGTCAGTGGAGAGAGAGAGAGAGAGAGAGAGAGAGAGAGAGAGAGAGAGAGAGAGATAACACAGAAGCAACGACGGAGGATGAAGGACTTACTGCTGGAGAAGAAGATAAAATGTCGCACGGAAACACGGAAGTATAACGAGC